GAGTCCGGTTTTTAAGGTACAAATGGTAAATTCAGGAAATGAGAGTGGATTATGCTTCTTTCGTTCATTGTCACTGTGGTTATCAGCAGCTGGCACAAACCCTGGAATACCCATGGCACTCAACACGCACTTGTTAAATGAACCAGCTCAGGAGGGAAGCCTGAGTTGGCATAGTATTTAGAAGTCAACAGTAGATAGACAGCAGGTGAGTTTTTGAAGTGGGAGCTCCTTCCGAAGCCCATCAGGCAGACCCCGGCGATAACCACCATTTAAGGGGCGAGCAAAGGAAAGCAGCCCAGGGAGGTTGATGGCGGACGTGTCAGTGAGGAGGAATTTTAAACACGTCGGTGTCACAGAGGCCATATAAAGGAGAAGACTTTTTTTTTTTTGCTGAAAAAGTATCCTATTTGGCTAAAACAATTCTGTATAATTTTTTGAATTATCTTAAATTTTAGTGTTTGACGTCAAATGGGAAAGAAGGAAAACCACGTTGTTCATATAAACTACTCGCAAGGTTTAGAAGACAACTTTAAAGAGGGAACCAACATCAACAGATCTAAATGCCACAGTAAGAGGAAGTAAGCTAAGAATTGGGATCGATTGGATTCAGCAATTAGGAAATCAGGGTTGTTCCCAGCAAGAGCCGTTTCAGCGCAAATCCAGGATTCCTGAAGAGAACGGAAAACTGGGAGTGAACAAGTGGAGGACGCAAGGTCCGACTAATCTTCGCAGTGCTCAGCTATGATAAGTTAGATAAGTCGATAGCTATTCTATAACAGACTTAAGAAATTGAATAAATATTCTTATAATCTGAGGCCCAAAAATCCATTGTGAGGAGGTTGAAGATAAAAGCAGTTAAATGCTACTGAATTCTTCTCCACGATGGAAAAGTCTGGAAGACAATGGCAGGTGCAGGGACCATTGTAGCCGAGGGGCTCTCATTTGAGAGGTGCACCTGATAGCTTCTAACATTTCTGTGAACTCAGAATCAAATATTTGTCTGAGGGGAAGCAGGAATGGGGATTAAGTGGTTTGTTGAGAATAGTAAAGAATTAAAATAGCTATTTAGGGGATTAGACGGATTGGACCAGAGATGGAACAATTGCTGATTGTGAATTAACATTCAGGACCCATCTGAAGATAAAATCATAGGATCGGTGCAGCGCCCCCCACTGGCAGAGTCTACTACTCAGGAGAGCAGATGTGAGTGCAGAAGGGATAAGTTTGTAATGATTCGCAATTGGGTGTTTATAGAGAGGCCACCACAGATAACAGCTGCAGAGGATCAGAGCAAATGGAGTGGACAGAGCTGGGAAGATAGTGGTTGAAGAGATGACCAAACGATCAAATCTGAATAGGAAAATCAGTGAGAGACCCCATGGATTAATAGGGGATCTAAAAGACTAGAAGTGCCATGGGCAAAAGTCCTGGGAGTGACAGTGCTGGACACTTGAGTTTATATTTCTATACAGCAGGGGACAGAGCTGTTCCTGTCATGGGAACCCAGGAAATCAAGGTTGAAGTGTTTTCTGGGTTATTTATTCATTTACTTATTTATTTACTGAGTCAGTGTCTTGCTGTGTCACCCAGGCTGGAGAGCAGTGGCATCATCATAGCTCACAGCAACCCAAAACTCCTGGGCTCAAGTCATCCTCCTGCCTCAGCCTCTTGAGTAGCTGGGACTACAGGTGTATACAACCATGTCCAGCTAATTGGGTTCTCTGTTTAGATGTTCATGTTCCCTGAATAGTAGCAAAAACTGAGGGGAGAGAGAAAGTCCATGAGCCAGATGCTAAAATATTTGGTGAATGTCACAGAAGGCTCAGGAAAACCCAGTAGTGTGATAGATGGGACAGAATGGAAGAAAACATCAGTCTCTCATTGAACACCCCTTCATCTGAATCCCACCTGCCTGTCTTGACCATTAGGATATGGTGGGTGTCCCCGTAGTTTTCTTCCAGGCCTCAGAAGTGAGGACAGAGGAAAAAGCCACCGGCAACTCATGCCTGGATTACTGCGGTGACCTTCTAACTGGCTTGCCTCCTTCTATCCTCGTGCTTTCATTGAAAGCCTCCTTCTACCTTTGTTTTCATTGAAAGGCTCAAAGAATTCTTTGGCCAGAATTATTGTTAAAGCCTAAGTCAGGTCATGTCTTTTCTCTGCTTGGAATCCTTTGGTGGCTCCTGCCTCTCTTGGTTATGAGCCAGCCTTGCTGTTGGCCTCCTAGACCCTGTGGGATCTGGCTCCTGTTACCCTCTGCCCTCACTCCCTGGGCATCCCCTCACTCACTTGGCTCCTCAGCTTTCCTGCTGTTCCTCAAGCTTACCAGGCATATTCCCACTAGAGGCGTTTGCACCTGTGATTTCTTCTGTCTGAAAAGCTCCCTCTCAGGTTTTACTAGTCACCTTGTCTGTGAGGTCTTCCCTGAACACCCCCATCTAAAATTTCACAACTTTCTCAAGCCCAGAATTTCAAATTTACTTTCCCCCAGTTTTTTATTGCATAGGTCACTAATGTGACATACATGGAACTTGTCTTGCTGGACTGTCTCCCTTATTAAAGTGCAAATTTCCCTCAAAGACAGAGTTTTTCCTTTGTTTGTGTCATTGTCATTTGCTGCTGTACCCTCAGTGTCTAAAACAGTATCTGGCACATCGTAGGAGGTCAGTATTCCTGAGATCAATGAATTCACTATACCTATTACAGGCCCCAGAAGATTACCTCCAGCCTAGTCCTAGGATGGGCCATCAAACTAGCTGACATTTTCTGTTTTGAGTGTTCTAAGAGCTGTAGGATTTATTTTTACAGCCTCACTGTGCTCAGTGCCCATAACTCAGTGGTTAGGGAGCCCGCCACATACACTGAAGCTGGTGGGTTTGAACCCGGCCCGGCCTGCTAAACAACGACAACTGTAACCAAAAAATAGCCGGGTGTTGTGGCGGGTGCCTGTAGTCCTAGCTACTTGGGAGGCTGAAGCACAAGAATCACTTCAGCTCAAGAGTTTGAGGTTGCTGTGAGCTGTGACGCTTGGGCACTGTAATGAGGGGGATATAGTGAGACTCTGTCTCAAAAAAGAAAAAAAAAAAGGTGAGGAATCCAGAAAGCCTGACTAATCTACCAATGGCCCCTAGTCGTCTGTTCTTAGCACCTGTGCAGAACGGTTAGCTGCAGCCCATTGTATTAACAAGCCCACAGGAAGGAAGTGAATCTCAGGCCCAGCCTATTTACTCACTTCCAAACTGTAAATTCCTTTGTGCCCCTATGCTTTCCTGTTAAAGAATCACATCAGGAACATACACATTAAACAAAAGATTACGTAAAGGAGTCTTTTCAAAGCAGAAAACAGGGTGAAATGCTTTGTACTCACATCAATGATGTCTTTTCAGGTTAGGGTTGGTGCTGCAACAAAGGAAGATCCTTCCTACAGGTTAGTAATGGAGGACACACAGTCAGGTGCCTTTTTTTTTTTGGGAGACAGCTTCACTTTGTCGCCCTTGGTAGAGTGCTGTCGCATCACAGCTCACAGCAACCTCAAACTCTTGGGCTCAAATGATTCTACTGCCTCAGCCTCTCGAGTACCTGGGACTACAAGCACCTGCTAATGGGAGGTGAAAGTCAGGCAGCTGCTCACATGTCCCCTTGAATCACCATTAGATTCCAGAAGCATAAGTTTATGTCACCTAGAAGAAGCTTCAGCTGGAAACCAGGCTACTCTGCTGAGATGGGGAAGGTGCCTACAGTATTGCAAGGCCAGGAAAGGGAGGACGAGAAGCTCAGCCCCCCTCTCTAAAGAGGAGAGAGCAGCTGCTGCAGTGGCCTGGGGCCTGCTTGTGACCCTTCTATGGGCACGAGGGTGCTGTTAGGACACCGGCCTCCTCATTGCCTGAGATACGTGATACTTCCACTTACCTCCTCTTCCTCCCTGGAGTCAGATTTGAAGTGGTACTAGAGGAATGCTGTTCTCTCTGGATCTGTCCCTTTCCCCAGCCCGCTCACTCTCATGCTCCATGTGCTTTGCTCTGTCCCCTTCTGGTAGCAGCAGCAGAATTTCCCTTTTTCGTTTTCATATGTGAAAGCTCCCCGGGCCGTGCTCCGGAGCTGGAAGCTCCCTGGGATGAGGACACGATCCCATCATCAGCACTGGTGAAATCATATTAGCACCGGGAGGGCTCCCAGGGCCGAGTCTGCAGTGGCCACTCAGAGAAGACGGCAAATCACAGGAAGTTGACATCAGAAAACACGCTCCATGGAGATGCTAAACACACATATCATAACCATAAAAAAAAAACGAGACAAGAACTTGAATCTTTTTGGAGAAAACATGCTTTGAAATGCGCAGGCTGTCTTCTGCAGGCTGAAAGCAAAATGATTCTCCCAGGCTGTTCTTCTGAGCTGGTGAATGAGCTCACAGGCCTATTCATCTCAAAGACTAAGCTGGAATTGCAACTCAAGGGCTTGGGCTCCTTCGTAGGTAGCCTTCAGAAGGGAACATAGACTAAAATTGTCATAATGCCATATGGTGCTGGGATGGAAAGCACTACAAAGGGCTTGAAAGAATAAGGACAAAATCACAAGGGATAATTATCACCCTCAATAGAGACACGCTTTCAGAATGACTTGCTGTTCACTGTGTTCAGGGATATTTAAGACCTTAACGATAGAAATAAATGGAAATACATGGGGTAATGTATAACAATCTTAAGAGTCAAACTGATGACTACTAACTAATGCAATTCATACCAAATGGTATCATAGTGTACTCACAAGGATTAAATAGGAATTTTTACCCTGCTATTACTTATGTAGGATAAGTATTTTAAATTAGATAACAAATAATTTTTATTTTAAATATACTCATGCTAAAAACTGTATTTATCTCAACATATTTGCCTATAAAATTCACTTACTTAGTCAAAATGATTGCCTAATAAAATTGTCAACAATATAACGGCATTGCCTTAGGCAGGAACTCCAGCACAAAGATTAAAAAAAGACACAGCTGAGTATCTGATGTATTTTATTTGTTCACATTTATCCTATTTGAAGTTAACACTACTTCATTGGACAGTTTAAAAATCATTCGGTAAACAAAACAATCAACAGCAGCAACAGCTAACTAAAGACACAAGGTATATGAAAATAATGCGTCGAAAGGAATCTTCTGAATAAGCAAAGGAAATGTGACCATGATTATGAATTCAACGATAAGAAGAAAAAACTTTCCAATGTCTGTAAAAAAACCCAAAACTCTACTAGTAATAAAAAAGAAGAATTCAAAGTGCAGGTGTGCTAGTTTTCATTTCCACATCCATTCAGGAAATAGATAGAGCATACTATTCTTTCATATAAAGTGACAAGTTCTGTTTTAAAACATTCAGTTACATTATCTTGCAGATTGTTTTCCGTTTACATTATCTCTACATCAATTTAATGGAAAGATGGTCATACGCGATATGTGGTATAAATTTCTTGAATCTATGGAGAATATAGAAATGGTAAAGTGTATCGCTTCGTTTTTCGCTCTATTTGCATTAAGTAATAAGAAGCTGAACACTGAGTATCAGAAGCATCAGTACTTTAAAAAACAAACACCTCCCCAACCTATCCTGAGCCTTCTATCACTGCTGCCACTTTCAAAGTCTCTGTAACAAAAGATTGTTACTTTCCCCTGAGTTCTGATCAGCTGACATAAATGATCAGAACAATTTTTTAATGCAAAATTGGTCTTTGTCCAAATTGATCCAATACAAGTGTTATTCTGGTATCATGTAAAAAAAAAGTCACTTACATTTTTATAATTGTTTAGAACCCCAAATGTTTTCCCTTTGAAGGGGAACATCTTTTTAATATGATTTTTGAATAGAGACTTTTATGAAGTATATTTCAAATCATAAAAATATTCCAATACTCTCTAAAGTGGTACAGGATTTACCCCAGCTGACAATGCCTTTTCCATTAAAGAAGAGTCTCGTATTTGTTCTATTTCATTTTCCTTGCAGCCCTAATTGTATTTAAAAAGCCTGAATACACAAATGACTGCTGCCTTATTTAGCATGAAACAGCACTATTTTTTTAAACCATGTATACAGCTCAACAGCAAGATTAATAAGGTATAATATACACATATCACTGACAAATTCATTTTTCTGTAATTCACTGAATAAACTGTATTCTGGTAAATCCCCCTCCCCCCACCAAGAGTGTAACTGTACCTACATTGAGGTGTTTATATATTTCTCCAACAGTTTTCATTGTATTATGTTATGAAAACACTAGGCTTCAAGCCAGGTACTAATAAATATTTAATTTAAAAGAAAGAAACCCCAACACAGAAGAACATAAAAAACCCTCCCCCCTTCTCCCTCCCCAGGGAAGGTGCCTGCGTTAGCCGGACATGGCCGAGATTTCGTAGTCACTGGCCGAGGTGAGGGGCTTGCCCATCATCCGGATGTTTTTTGCACTGGTAATCCTGGCCATCATGCACACGGGCTTGTCAAAGTATTTCACCAGGGCAGGCTCAGTCAAGAGGGAGGCGAGGAACTGCTCGAAGGTGATGGCCCAGTCCCGGTCCAGGCTGGTGCTCCGGGGCAGCGCCGCCGAGCCCTGGCCGCTGCGCACCAGGACTGTGTCCTCCCCAATGTCTTCGCAGTGCAACTTGTCCTCCTCATGGGAGCCGGCACTCAGCACGGAGTACGAGGACATGGAGCTGTCGTCCTTGGTGTCGTCATCGGAGATCAGCATGGAGGAGCAGGCCCCATTGTCCCGGGGCGAGGAGTCCTCCAGCTTGATGTCCTCCATCTGTCCCCCGAGAGAGTGTTCCTCACTGTCAGCGGCCAGGCTGGCCGGGAGGGGCTCCACTGACTCCACCACGTAAGGCTGGCTGGGCCCCTTCTTGGGAAAGAGCATGCCCTGGATGCCCTGGTGGCAGGACGGCCCGCTGCCCCCACCCCCACCCTCCTTTGCAGGCTGGGCGACGAAGAGCTTGCCCACTTCCCCGATCTCCAGCAGGAGGCTGGTCACCGCTGCCGTGGCGTGGTACAGCTCCTGCTCGTTGGGGTCCTCGCTGAACATGTTATACATTGTCTTGCACAGCTCAATGAACTGCCCCTAAAAAGGGATTTGGGAAAACACAGATAATGTGAAATCTGGGGAAGAGAGACATAGGACCAGGTGGACTGAAAAGCCATTTAAATGATGACACCCGAAGATGTTTGGAAAGTCCTGTGTGTAGGATGGATGGACACGTTTAAAGTCTCTTTACTGGCTGGGGGCACCAGCTCATGCCTGTAATCCTAGCACTCTGGGAGGCCCAGGTGGGTGGATCCCTTGAGCTCAGAAGTTTAAGTCCAGCCTGAGCAAGAGCAAGAGCAAGATCCCCCTCTCTAAAAAAAAAAAAAAAATAGCCAGGCACTGAGGTGGGTGCCTGTAGTCCCAGCTACTTGGGAGGCTAAAGCAAGAGAATCGCATAAGCCCAAGAGTTTGAGGCTGCTGTGAGCCGTGACACCATGGCACTCTACCAAGGACAACATAGTGAGACTCTGTCTCAAAAACAAAACCCAAACCAAAACTCTTTATTGATCTTTCCATTTTATTTGAAAAATTTCACACATCCATAAAATAGGAAAAATTAAAAAAAGACAAAGCCCTCCTGCATATACCACTTAGAGTCTGACTATGTGGTACACATTTGCTTCACTAACTCTTTTTCTTACTCTCTTTTTCCTTGTCGAAGTGTCTTAAGGAAATCCCAGGCTCATCTCTTGTCACATCTACACACTTCAGAATGGATTCCAAGTTTTCCAAGGTGAGCCCAACCCGCTCTGTGACACACCCCTTACCTCCCTGAACTGCAAGGAATGCCTTCAGCCTGTGATTCTGTTAGGAAACTCAGCATTTTTATCCTGTGTTGTAATTATTGATATTGTCTTTTTCTCCTTTATTATACTTCAACTTCTTAAGGAAAACACGTCTGAGACATCATTTTAGCTGAGCACAGTGCTTTGCAAACTTTTAGTATCTGAGGGGAGTTGTAATGACTGGCCTAAGATGCATGGACTCTCGAAACTGAGTATTTTGTGGTTCACATCTTCTCTGCAGCGGTCATTTTCTCTCAACTAAGTATATTTCTGATGCATAAAAATATACACAATATAGATCTAAATGGAGACCAACGAGGCGCTCCCAAGCTACCATGTACTGTGAGGGGTACTTCTTTCACCTTCATCTGTGGTTGGAAAGAGGAGCGTCAAGGTTTGAAATGAATGAACTGTTGAGCACTTACCTGATTCAGTTTGGGTAAATCCTTCGCATTCTTTGACTTAGATTTATTTTCTGGCGTCCAGAGTCTCAGATAATTCCGATTTTCTTGGGAATTTGACCTCTTCCCTACAACCCACACATGGAGAAATAAGTGTTCACAAGGCGAGGAAGAAATGTACCACCGTGAAGAAGGTAAATACCCAGGAGAGGATATGGGTACCTTTGTCTGGCTTTAGGCTCACTGTGACAAAGCCATCGTCAGCGCTCTGTTTGCTCCTGCTGTCCAGTCCAACCACTACCAGGAAATATTTGGAAGAAAAAAGAAGGATGTTATAGAATATGACCATAGAGTTAGGATCTGTATTAGAAAGTTAAAGAATCTTCAGGTAAAACAAAATAAAACACCTATATGCCAACTTACATTTGAATCACAGATGAAGCCCAAGTAATATTTTTGGCTTATCTCTAATGTTGCATGGGATATACTTACATCGAACAAATTATTATTTTTTTAATCTGAAATTCAATTTTGCTGTATCCTTTATCTGACAACCCTATTTCTAGCTGAAGGACTGCTACAGAATTCTTTCTCACAGCCGGAGTTCAGTGTACGATTAAAAATTAAAGGTGTAATCCAAGCACTTTGGGAGGCTGAGGCAGAAGGATCGTTGGAGCCCAAGAGTTTGAGGTTGTAGTGAGCTAAGATGATGCCACTGCACTCAAACCCATGACAGAGTGAGACCCTGTCTCAAAATAAATTAATTTTTTAAAAATTAAAAGGATAATGCCGTATCATCTCCAGTACTTAAAAAATGTTTGAATATATCTTTTTCTCCTCTGAAAGTTGATTTCTCGCCTTCCTTTGCTATGCTGTCTATACTGTCATCTTAACTTTGCATATATGGGATTGATTTTCTGCTGCGACGCCCTGCAAAAGATCAATAACTCACTCTTTTGAGGAAATTAAAACCTACATTGGTAGAACCCAGAAAAAATAATTATTTTCCTAAAACGTTATACGCTATAGATCGATAATTTAGTATTTCAATGTAAGGGTACGTGGCATACCTCCTGGGTGAGGGGCACAACTACAACAGGGATCTTACCAAACAAATGAAAACATTGTAACCTAATCATTTGTACCCTCATATAAGTCTGAAGTAAAAAAAAAAGATTTAAAAAAAAATCCATTTTTTGGTCTTCTTAAAATAGGACAATACAGGGCATGTGAGGACGTCAGAAGGGAGAGGTATACAAAGCCCTCCGATTACCACCAATCTGTCAGCTGTCAGAGTGGATTCAAGTCCTTGTTCAAACACCCCAAAGCTGGCTGGTTTGCCAAATACGTGACCTTGACTGTGTCATGTGTTAAGTTAATCTCAGCAACTTTTAAGACAGAGTGAGGAAAATGTACTATAGGTCACTGTGAAATTTCTTTCCTCTTAAGGTTGAAAGTAATTTAGGAAACCAGTAAATATTTTAAAAGTATTTAATGTATGGCAAGCCCATACACCGAATATTGCAAAGCCATTTAAAAACTGTTTTCAAATACTTTTTAATAACGCAATACTGTTTTCACTTGACTTTAAGTGAGAAATTTAAGATATAAACCTGTACAGGTGGTTTGATCCTAGTTTTATATGTGTGTGCTTTTGTGTACATGTGTATTACATACACTATCTGAATAAAAAACTGAAGAAAATTCAAGATTAACAGTTACCTTTACCTAGTCAGGTTTTAAAACAGCTTTAGCTTATTTTATATATTTCCAACGCTGCTAGCTAAAATAACAATGACAACTGCAACAACAACAACAACAACAACAACAACAAAAAATAGCTAGGCATTGTGGCAGGCACCTGTAGTCCCAGGTACTTGGGAAGTTGAGGCAAGAGAATCACTTAAACCCAAGAGTTTGAGGTTACTGTGAGCTGTGATGCCATAGCACTCTACCCAGGGTGATAGCTTGAGACTCTGTCTCATAAAAACAAAAAAAACAAAAAAAACCCCAAAAAACGTTAGTATAGTATTACTTATACTAAGTAATAGTACTTTTGGTACTAGAAAAACACCTTTTAAAAAGCATCTTTCCATGACATGAAATGCTGCTGGGCATGAGAGCATTCCTGAAGCATTTCTGAAACAAGAGAACCCTTTTCTGAAATAAGTGTTTACTAGGTATGGCTCACATATTGCAGCCAGAATACCAGTCCGAGCGATACAGCAATATTGAGGATACCATGGGATATGCTCAGACACTATGCAGAAGCCTTACTACATCATCTTACTAGGACCTAACTGCACCCAATTTGACAACTGTCACCTCCATTTTCCACATGAGGAAACTGAGGTTCAGCGAGGCAGGCAGCTGCCTGCAGTCACCTAGATAACAAACCCACGGCTTGCAGCCTCTCTAAAGCTCTTACCCTCAACTTGTCTTGCCAATCACAGTATAAGACTGAACCTGGTTCACTTCTCTCCTCAATCACTTAGATGCTGACAGTTGAAAAGCAGGGCTAAGCTGTGCTAATTTGGGGGTGAGCAAATTGAAGAGGCAAAAGAACCCAGAGACAACCCACATTTACTTTTAGACTTAGGTAAAAACAGATGAAGCTGCCTTAATAATGAATTAGAAAGTAAACAGCTTACTATAGGATTAAGTCAAGGGATGCTGCTTAGATGATTCATACATGACAAAACAGTATATCACTTGACATGTATAAGTGAAGATATAAAGAAATTACATCGTGTTTTTTAGATCTAACATCCATATACAGCAGAGGTTGACAAACTACTTCTGCAAAGGGCCAGGTAGTGACAATTTTAGGCTTTGCAGGCTGTATGGTCTCTGCCTTAACTGCTTACTTCTGGCACTACTGCATGAAAGCAGCCATGAACAATACGGAAGTGAATGAACTTAGCTGTGTCCCAACAAAACTTTATTTATAAGCACCAACGGTTTGATTTTATGTACTTTTCACATGGCAAGATATATCATTTTACTGTTGATTTTTAAAAACCATTTAAAATCGTAAAAACCATTCTTAGTTCACAGACGATACAAAACAGGTGGTGGGCCAAATAGTTTGCCAACCGGCTGTCGAGCAAAGACAGATGTAAGAGAATGCTTTTTTACATAAAAGCCAGTCCCAATTCTAGATAGCTCCATAATGACAGGATGTTGTTCATGAGCCTAAGCCTAACAGAAAAGGACAGTGAAACCTCCACAGTTGACCACCTCCCTACATTGACCACCTCCTGAAGCTGACCTCATTCTCACAGACTGGACATGTACCACATACATGTATCAGTACAGCAGGCCTAGTTCTTTATGCTGATCACCTCCACACGTCCACCAGTTTGTTACAATCCCATGGGTAGTCAACTTCCAAAGGTTCTATAGGATATGCTTTTTCTAATCCCCTGCAAAATGCTGTACATGGTCCCTTCAATGTACTGAAGTACCTGTTTCTCCAATAGTTGCCTGATCTTAAAAATTTGAAAGGAAAGTAACACATTAGGCAACCATACTTATATACCTCTTTGACTGACTAACTCTGGAGGCAAGGCTTATTCCAGTAACAGAGGGCACTGTGGAAAATGCGGACAGTACCCTTTTGGTGAGGTCACTTACCATGTGTACATTCTGGGGTGATATCTTCAAAGAAGTACTGAGTTGCTTCAAAAGCAGAATCTGGCTCATCTTGATCAGAGGATGGCTCTAGGGAGAGGAGGAAAGAATCTTCATACTGGCAGGGTCATGACTCAATGAAAGCATGCTTAATTACCAAAGGAAATGACATAGGGGGAGGCCGAGAAGCTAAAGTTACAAAGATGGACGGGGTCACATCACTGGGGAGCCTGGAAAACTACAGAGTCTAAAACCTTAGGGAGGGAGGGGTCCCTCCATTTACAACTCCACCTTCCCTTCAACAATCCCACACCAAAGTGCCCCTTTACGTTTTCCTTTGTGTGATGAATTTCCAAAATTCTGGGGAATAATGCTTTATGAACCAAATCTTAAAAATTGTATGCTCTAAAGATAATTCCCAAATCTATAGTGTTACCGTATCTCTATCCTCAGTGCCAATCTCTCTCTCTCTTTTTAGTATTTGCTAAATATATCTTGGCTGAGACCAACCTGGCTTAAACATGAACTCAGAACCTCCCCATGTTTCCTGCTTGTTTCTGCCAAGGATGAAGCTGCCCCCGCCCCTCCCCAGTCTCAGACTCTCAGTGTGTCCTCCACTCATCTCTTAGAATTCTCATGTCCCAAGTGTTACCAAATGCTATTTATTCCTTCTCTTGCAGATTCCTGCTCTTTTCCTTTACCACAACTCAGAACAAGCACAGGATGATTCAGGAGCTTAACACAAATAGTCATTATTCAGTTCATTCTTAGTGACCAATGAATATACCAAATGTGATATAACAAAAAGGAGCAAACAGTTTACACTGAGAGAGAGAGAGAGAGAGAGAGAGAAAGAGAGAGAGAAAGCCAGGTCAAGGTTACAGACAGCTCTATACAGCTCACTTACCAGGAAGGACATGCATTTTGTACAGGAGTTTGAGTTTCTCTGTGAGGTCCCCGTGGCAGGCGGCACCTAGAAGCACAGAAGCACCAGTGTGAAAAGCCTTGTGTGTGCTAGTAATCCCCCCAGGCTCAGTGTTTTCTTGACAAGTCTACTGCTTACAAGTTTCAACTAAGCCATTGGGGACAATGGGACATATTTGGGTTAAGAGCTCTGGAACCAGCCCACTTGGTTTCAAATCCTTTGTACTTACTATGCACCCTAGGGAGAGTTAACCACTCTGTACCCCAGTTTCTCCTCTGTAAGGTGAGATGAGAACAGAAGATTCTACCCGTGATCTTGATGTCAGGACTCCATGAAATGTGAGAACCAGAAGTGAAACACTTAGAATAGCGTCTGACACATAATAAACCAGTATCTTTAGAGAGGAAGTTTGTGTGACTGGGCCACAATCTCCTAAATACCTATGAGAATTCAGAAATAACTTCAAAATGTGTTTGAGATTGCTCCAAATTACTCATCTCAGAAGTCCATTTTAGTCATTTCTGAGTTCTCCTACGTGTTTCCTCATTCTTATTTATCCTAACCTGTTCTTGTATCACCATAGCTTCAATCAAAAGAATTGTTACTGTTTCCTTTAAAGTTGATATTCCTAGAATTGAAAAACTCCTTGGAAATGTGTATATATTCTCAGGGCATCTAGTTAAAGGTGAATCATATTTGGAAAAAGAAGGAGAAGAAGAATCATAGAATCTGGGTTGGAAGGGGCCCGACAGGGAGCCTACTGTAGGGAGCTCCACTCACACATCCATGTGAGACAGAAGTCTAATTTCTGCTTACACATTCTCAAAGAGTGGGGGCTCATTATAACCAGTAACATCTCATTTTACCCATGAATACTCTAAACACTAAAAGTTCTTCCGTAACTTTTACTTAAGTCTAATGATCCTTAACCTGTAGTCTCAAGTTTATATATAAAGTCCACAAACCCCATACAATGTAAAATTTTGCATATGTGTGTATGTCATTTCTTGGGAAAAAAATACTCATAGTCATTATTAGATCTCAGAGTGTCAAAACCAGTTTAAAACTATTCCTCTTCCCCTTGTCTTACTCTGCAAAGCCAAACAGGATAGATATCTTGCCTCTACCTTCCATACAATTCTTCAGATGTCAAGGACAGCTCTTACCAACCTCAAACTCTTGGGCTCAAGCAATTCTCTTGCCTCAGCCTCCTGAGTAGCTGGGACTACAGG